GAAGTGTAAAAATTTAATTTTCTGCAGTTTAGCTTATCAACTTACTTTTATTTTATGGATCAGGCTTTTTCAGTGTTGTATCTAAAAGTGGTTAGTCTAGAACCTTCCTGGTCGCCGAGAGATTAAATTTTAGCACTATCACCTCTACGGCCTGAGTTTGATCCCAGGGAGCTGGCCCACTGTGGGTCCTGTCTTGCCTACTGCTCCCCTCAGCAGTGTATTTCAGTAAATCCGCCTATTCTGCGCCTCACTCTGTTTCTGGTGAACCATCCCACCCCTAACCCTCCACCTCTGGCCTGACCCCCATTCTTCTACACAAAAAAAATAAAATAAAAGTGGTTATTCTATCACATGATCACAAAGATTTTATTCTGGAAGTTTTGAGGTTTTAATTCTTACATTGATTTGTATAATAAATACACATTTAGTTAATTTTGTGAATACTATCAGGAAGAGTATAAATTCACCTTTTTGCTTGGGGATATCCATTTATCCTAGCAGTTTGCAGCCATTTGTTTGAGAAAAATTATCCTTTCTCTCATTAAATTGCCTTGACAACCTGACACCAGAAATATGAAGATTTATTTCTGATTCCCATTTTTTTACATTGTTCGTCATATCTGTCTTCATCCCAATGGCTACCACTTGCCACAAAAAATCTATAGTCTCATTTTCTAGGCAAAGAAAATAAACCACATACTTCATAGTCACCAGCCTCATTGCTGCCACTGAATTACTGCCATCCTCTCTCTAATTGATGTGCCATGGCACACCTGGGAATTCAGATATCAGTGTTTAACTCTTAGGATTTTAAAGCCGAGAGTTCAACAGTTTATAGATGAGCAATGTCAGGTTAACGATAGTTACTATTCTAAGTTAAAGTATTTTTATCCTCTGCTATAATGGAAGCATGCTGCTTGCCTAGGATAACACATTTATTATCATGGAATCTCTCGGTACAATTAATCCCCTCTAGCCCATGCTCTACGTAGCAAGAAACTGAAGAGGAGAAAATAAAAAAGGCAAAGAGTAGAAACTTAAAAAGAAGAGTGTTCAAAAGTGGAAAAGAAACAGTGTAGATTCCAAAAATAAAGTACACCTACTTGACATTTTTGGCGTTTCTTTTTTCTACTTGACATTTTTGTATAGAGCTGGGACACGTTTCAACTGTTCTACTAATCAAATACTTTAATATGTATAGTGTTTCTAATTTTCTTTAAAGTTACTACATTTAAGCGCCCTCACATCTTTTAAAATGGAGAGTTCAGGGCCTCCATAGTGACTAGGGGTTAAACAGACAGTGCTATCAAGCTGTTGCCAGCCACTGCAACATGAATTCAATCCCTGGCCAAGAAGATAAGCCATATAGCACAGCAGACCTCTCCTGTTTTGCCTAATGTTCCCTTCAGCAGTGTATTTCAGTACATTTTCCTGTTCTGCTCCCCATTCTGTCTCTGCCGAGTTCTCTCACCTCCCACTTTGCTGGCCTATACCCAGTGCTTGTATGCATAAATAAGTAAAAATAAATCTTAAGAAAAAGATGGAGACAGCAAAGTGAGGGCTTAATTTCTTTCTTTCAGTGGTTTAGCTTTTTGTTTGCTTAATTTTTACTGTATTTCTCCCGAATTTTAGTTTTAGAAAGATACACTGTTGTGAACATTAAACTTTCTAGCTATAGGTGATCTAGAATAATCTATTTAATAGAAAAACATTATTATCTAAAATTACTTCCAAAATAATTATCCAGATATGTGTGTGCATGCACCATGGTTTATAGTTTATGACTGATACTTGGTCAGCAAAGTCAGACTGTGCTTAAGATGCTCCCTAATTAATGTTAGCCATGTGTAGTTTAAAGGTGGTGAATGAGCTGAGTTACTTAATGTCACATTTGTAAGGTTGAGCAAAACTTATCCAGCCAGTTAGTCACAATTTTCAACAGTCAGTCTTACAAAAGTACACTAGTAATGGAGATAGAGTTCAGATTAATCTAATTGTCTCTTTAAAGATGGAGTTTAAGCCAAGGTCAAGTGGCATGTCAGAAGATCCTGGGCTAATTAGACTGTGCTATTATTATACACCCTGAATTAATAATTATCTTTAAAGATTATTTTCAAAAGTAGTTGGTTTCAAAGCCTACTTTGAATATCTTGCATAACAATATGTATATTGTGATGGAAAGGGCTAGGGTTTATGATACTGTATGTAAATAATTCTGTGGGGAAATATGAAAACATAGAAAAGGGCAAATGAACATCAACTCCAAGGTTATTGTCTACTCCTGGAGGAGAAAGGAAACTTGAATGTTACACATGGCAATTTGTCTCATAAAAAGATTTAAACAAATACTGTAAAATATTTGCATTTATTAAATCTTGATGGAGGAGAGAGATATATAGGTATATGCTGAGCAGTAAATTTTGTGAGGATATGCCATGATTACCATCAGGTACTGAAGAGATACGGAAAAGAACTAATGGAAACTATCTAGGTTAGGTGTTGGGAAATTTTTATTCTCTTTCCAACTAGCTAATAATCAACTTTGACTTTTGGTGAATCCATTTTGAGAGGGTTTTCTTTGGGAATTTGATCTGCACCTCCCTCACTCATATGTGTTTCATTACCATTTGTGATACAACAACTTTTAGCATGGTAAAAAATGAAGTTTAAAAATTAGCCCTTTAGGCCCTCCCTGGTGGCGCAGCGGGTTAAAGCACAGCACTGAGAATCTAAAGCCGCTTCCGCATGAGTTCGATTCCCGCCTGCCCCGGAGGAGACCACATGGCGAGCCAGACCTCTCCTGACCCGCCCGCTGCTCCCCTCAGCAGTGTACTTCGTTGATCTGCCTGTTCTGCTCCCCTCTCTGTCTCTGGTGAAGCCTCTCACCGCCCCTGAGCCTCTGGCCTGTACCCCAGTTCTGTATGCACAAATAAATAAATCTTTAAAAAAAAAAAAATTAGCCCTTTAAAAAACTATATTTCTTTACTTCTGTATGAAAATAAAAATGATTTTATTAAAAATCTAAATTTTAATATGCCATAAAATCTTGAGAATTCCTCACCCAAGCTAGTCACTACTCACTTGAACATCACCAGTGCTTTAAGTGAATCCAAAGGTTTGTACAGATTATAAGCAGACATATTTTTAAAACAATTATTAAAATGCAATTTTTTTTAGAAGTGTTTCATTCATTGATAAACTGTATCTGTTGTTGCACCTTGGTTCTGATTCTGAAAATCTGAATACAGTTAAAGTAATTTTGTTTACCATATGAAGAACTAAAATAGCCCTTTGACCCATCACAGGTCAAACCAAACCTGGGTGGACCTTGAATTTAAATTTAAAGAAGAAATCTATTGCAAATAAGTCACTACCATTGTTTTTCTAGTATCACTAGTGATTGACTAGTGGGCTGTCATAGTCACTTTTTATCCCTATTGTGACAGATTTTGTCTCTGCTAGGACATTTATTGATCATTTCCAACTACATTCTACACAGCACAAAGTGACTAGAGCGAGGCCAGTACTGGCCCAAGTGCAGAGAGCCCTCTTTCTAAAACCAGATCTGACTTCTCAGCACTTTCCTTTTTTTTTTTTTTTAAGATTTATTTATTTATGCATACAGAACTGGGATACAGGCCAGAGGTGCAGGGGTGGTGAGAGGATTCACCAGAGACAGAGTGGGGAGCAGAACAGGCCGCAGGCCGACTGACAAAGTACACTGCTGAGGGGAGCAGCGGGCGGGTCAGGAGAGGTCTGCCGCGCCATGTGGTCACCTCTGGGGCTGGGATCAAACTCATGCTTAAGTGGCCTTAGCTTCTTAGTGCAGCTTTAACCTGCTGCATCACCAGGGAGGGCCCAGCACTTTCCTTTTAATGGCAGCAGAAATAATTTTTACCTTAGATTTTATATCTAAATCGTTATAATTTCCTATCCTTGTTTACTTGCTTGCCTTTCACTGTGTTCAGATCTTTCACCAGAATGGAAATGAGGAGAAATTCCTCCTGTTTTCTAATGCCCTAAAGTCAGTACTAGCTCTCTCAGTATTTAAATGAAAGCAATCACAAGAGCATCCCAGTAGTGTGACCTCATTCCAAGTCACTTTCCCCCCACCTCCAAATATGTACATTTTCTGTCCCTGCTGGGGCATTTAATTTTCACACAATATTACATGTGAAAGAATTTCATTTCAATCCTTTAGATTAAAACTGCCTTATTCTAGAAACATATTTCTGAAAGGGATTATAAGGAAGTTATAGGAGAGAGCTTGTGGCTGTAATGTGGGCATGTACTTGTCTGACTTGAGAATGTCTTTACTTGCAATGTAGTCACCTCACACATTCCTGTTAAATATTCACTTATCTTAAACTACTTGGGTGCACTCCAAGAACTCAGGGTTCATGTGATATCTGTAGCACTCATTTGCCCTGCAGAATGTGACTTTTCGGTTTCTAACCACTGATGACTATGCTTCAAGGCTCTGAAACTACTCAGGGCAGTTCAGCACTCCAGTGCTTATGATGATAAGCTCTTAGCTCTGCACGTAGAGCTAATGGTAGAGTTGAAGCTCCTGTTCCATATTGCTTTTTTGAGATATTATATGGTATAAAGTGTGTTCAAGTAGGTAACCTATAGTGCTAATGCTAGAATTTATATCTGAAGAGCTCAACGATAATTTTTTTTTTAAGATTTATTTATTCATACAGAACTGGGGAACAGACAAGAGATGCGGAGGGTGAGAGGATTCACCAGAGACAGAGCGGGGAGCAGAACAGGCAGATCGACGAAGTACACTGCTGAGGGGAGCAGCGGGCGGGTCAGGAGAGGTCTGCCACGCCATGTGGTCACCTCCGGGGCAGGCGGGAATTGAACTCATGCGGAAGTGGCTTACGCTTCTTAGTGCTGTGCTTTAACCCGCTGTGCCACTAGGGAGGGCCTCAACGATAATTTTTAATATCTTTGTATGAGTTCATGCTTTCTCAATGTACTCTGATCTACAGGGTGAAGATATTGGAATGAAAAGTAAAGTTCATCATATTGCCAAGGAGATCATGAGCTCAGAGAAAGTGTAGGTATCTAGTTTATCATTCACATGTCCATTTGTTTTCCCCATTGGCTCACTCATTTAAAACATTTCTTTCATTGCTGTTTTTTACAGGTTTGTGGATGTGTTGAAACTTTTGCATATCGTAAGTACCTGCTTATATTTTCTTGAAGTCTAAGACTATCTTCTTTTCATCTTGCCCTGTTTCCAAATGCTTTCAACATAATCAAATTAATTGCATGTGATTTCATGTGTGTGCTTTCAAATACGTAGTTATTTTTTTAAGTACACATATGTATATTCCTAGAAATCTTTGTATCTCATGTATATGTGGTATACCTACGTGATTTATGGGGGAAAAAATTAGAGCCCTTATATCTCCAAAGTCATCAGATTTTTACCTTCATTATGATTTTTAAATGATAGTATTTTATGGACATTTGCAGATGACTGCTATCAGAATTTTATACTTACAGTGTATAAAGAATGTCATGATCAGTGTTTAAAACTGTTCTTCATCTTTCTGAATAAGCTCCCAGAAATATTTAAAATAGACATTTTATAAATGAACTTTTTAAAGTTTTAGTTTCCATTTTTATAACTGTCAACCTGAAAGAACCTGTTGGAAAACAAGTATCATATGTGTTTGACTACTTACTCATTTTATCTCATGAACTCCTTTGTACCTGCAAGTTTTTACAAGTTTTGTTACTTGTTGCACTTAAAGTGCTTTTAGTGTTACTTTATTCAAATTATATTTGGCAAGACATTAAAACTTAATAAAAAGAGGATAGAGGAAACAATGAAAAAAGAAGTTGAAGTGAAAATTTGCTTAGATGGTATAATTATTAATATCATCTTAAACTTAATTGCTGAAAAAATGATAGGTTCACAAAATACACACCCATTTATGTCTCTACAAAGAGTATCATTATTTTTAGTTTTTTTTTTAACAGATGGATATGAACATGAAAAGTGGGTTACTTAAGGGTGAGTCACCTTTGCCAAATGATTCCCTTGTGCTCTGTATTTGGTACAGTGGTCGCAAGGAGGCCTAAATCCTATGTGAAGTACCTGTACTTTTGGAAACATTTTCTAAAATAATTCTTAACATTACTAAATTGTTTCAAGACTGTATTTCTCTCTGAATAGCTTTAACATAACTCTTGGCTGGATTAATAAGTTCTCTTAAATAATTCACTTAAAGCAATTATAGTCCAGTATTGTTACTTGCAAACAAATTGGTTGATTTTCAAGCATACTGCCATTTCAAGAGGCACAGCAAGTTAAACTCCATGTATGCTTAGTGCTGTGCCCTGAACCCTTAACCAATCGTAGAGAGGAAAGTTCAAATTAAACTTCTGTTTTCTGGAAAATTCACAACATATCTCTGTGATGAGCACATTGCACCTACCTGATAGATTTTCTGACAGATATTTTTTAAATAGAAGTAGGAAATTTTAAGCATCTCTATGGTAAAATCATAGAGGTTTAAAAACATGCTATCGAGCCAGAAAAACATGAGTTTGAGCTTCACTGTTCTTTGTCAGCAAATCTTACATGAGACACATGGTAGGCTTTTACTGTGAACAGAGGCCTCATTCTCACAGGGCTTTAATAGTCTGGTGTAATCCTTCTCACAACGTTGTGTGGAGACATTGGGTTTTTACATTTCCAATCCAGGGTGAAGCAAAAGTTCTGCAAAATACAATAAAAATGTCTTATTTGTATCAAATTGGTAGACAAATTTCTGCTCTCTTATTTCATTAACATTTATGAAATAACAAAATCTGAGGACCACATTTTGAGAATATTGGCTTAGTAGATTCTGTTTCTTACCAGCTATGTGACTTTTAAAAAACTATTTAACCTTTTGGGTCTATCTTTCCTCAGTTGTAAAATGAGTTTAAAAACAGTCACTGCTCAGATAATGAAGAATTAGTAGAATCATGTCTATAAAGGAGCCCAGCATTGTATATGGCACACCGATTGTCAAATTGCCTATCTTCTTTATCTTGCCCTGTAATACATAATAAGGGGGAAGAATTCATTCTACTGTTACCAGTTAGTAGACTTTTTACCATTTCAAATAAGTCTCCCGCCTTACTAAAATTTTACTTTATTCAAGGAAGTTCTGATTCCATTAGGTTGGGGAGCAATTGAAAGTTTTCCCAGTTTCTTTGACTATTTAAAAGTATACGTTCTGTTCTTAACACTGTAGTTTGGAACAAATTATAAGCACTATGAGAAAAGACAAATCAGACCTCCTCCCAGCTGGTATTTATCAGAGTGAATCATCCTTAACCCACTTTGACTTGTACATTTCAAAATCTCTTAAATCTTTAATGTAGGAGTGAGACTAGATCATCTTGCCAACTTCATGCATATTGTCTGGTATGTGTAAATGTTAACTCAGCAGATCTTGACTCTAATTGGTATCTTAGAAACAGGGTGTTAAACAGATTGTGAACCATTAGAAGGAGGACCTCGTTACCTGGTTAATGTGGGTAAAGGCAAGAGTATCTTGTTTCTGTCTAACAACGCCACCACACTATTAAAGCTCATATTATCCTTCTACTAAAAGAACCCAAGCAGTTTTAATCCTGAGCACTGCTGCTATCTGACTTTATCTAAGTGAATTAATTTTTGTGCTATATGATAGAAAATGACTGCTTTTAAGTAACTAAAAGTCTCTAGATAATCCAGTGGGTTTGGTGTTGTTTTTTTTTCTTTTGCAAATCAACCAACCAGGTATCTAAGCGCCTTAGGAAAAGCCATTGTTTTAGTTATATATGAGTTTCCATGAATAGTTTTTCACATTAGAGACTACAAATAGCATTAGTAACTCTTTTAGTGATGACAGGAACTTTTAGTATTTGCATTGTAAAAACAGTAGCCATATTTTTAAGTTTTTAATATATCATTGTAAATCAGTAACATACTGTACATCATTTTAACATATTTCTGTTGCTTACTAACACTTCTCTGTTTAGAATTTGCTGGGATGAGATGAGACAGCTCACAGACATAATCTTAAATCTAAAGAATTTATCATTCAAGTTGTTATTATATTAGGAAGAATTAAAATTGGGTAGAGAGTGGGCATTTTAAAATGTACTTGAGTTTCTAAGAGCCAGATCATGTGAGTTGAGGGTTTTGATTTATCTGGATGAGTTTGTAAGGAAATACTGGTCCTGCAGAGGTGGTGACAAGCATTACAGTTAATGTTTATGTAGTTCATTCTCTGCAGTATATACCATGAGCTTGTGGACTTTGCGCCGGATTGAAAAGATTTCAATGTATATATCTTCTATAACTCAGTATAGAACTTCTATAACTGTTGTGTCCTAAGGGAAAGGAGATTCCTAAGACACTCATTCCTTTTTCAACCATATGTATAGAAAGTTAGGACACCTTCACCTCTACCTTTCACTCACCTTGCTAGCCAAGGCATCAACTAATTGCTGATACTGTTTACCTCTTAGTGCCACCAGCCTGATCTATAATATCATCTCTAACTCAGACAACCACACCAGTCTTCTAATTAGGCTCGTTATTTCCATTTTTTACTCCACCTTTCAATCTGTTCCTTAATGATTTAGAGTGATTTTCTTAAAATACTTATTAGATTTTCTCACTCCCCTGCTTAAAAGCCTTTTAAATTATTCCTGTTGTATTTAGGATAAATCTAAGATACTTGCCAAGGACTATAAATAGGCTGGCCCTACATTCTGGTCTGCTTTTGATAGTCCTGGTCTAGCCCTGGTACTAATATTGTCTTTTTTTTTTTTTTTAAAGATTTATTTATTCATGCATCCAGAATAGGGGTATAGGCCAGCGGTGCAAGGCATGAGAGGATTCACCAGAGACAAAGTGGGGAATAGAACATGCAGATTTAGTGAAATAATACTGTTGAGGGGAGCAGCATGCAGGTCAGGAGAGGTTGGTCACGCCATTTGGTCATCTCTCTAGCCAGGAATCGAACTCATGCTGCAGTGGCTGTGATAGCTTCATAGTGATGTGCTTTAACCTGTTGTGCCACCAGGAAGGGCCCAATATTGTCTTTTTTTATTTTGGCGTAATATTGTTGTATTGTATTGCGTTGTCTTGTACTGTCCTGGCATATTAAAATTTCCTTTCATTATCAAAACTATCCAATTTGGATAGTACAAATATAGTTCTCCCTGGCTATAAAGTGTGATTTGATTGTCCTTTGGTAATTAAATGAGACATCAGTAAGAAAGCAGCCCTTCTCACTCATTTACCATGTTCTGGCCACATTGGTTTCTTTTCAGTTCTTAGTTCAATGCTAAAATTGTACGTGCCCAGAACATTTGCCAATACATGTTCCTAGAAGGTACATTTTTCATTTTCTCATAGTTATTTCTTTATCCTTTCGATTTGGGCCTATATGTAACCTCCTCTGAGAGATCTTCCTTTCTCTTTAACTTCCCCTTATTTCTTTTCCTCCGGGCACTAAATGTAATATGTACATTTATTCACTTGCTTATTTTTCATCTCCTCTACTAAAATGAAAGCAAAATGAATGTAGGGACCGTATATCTTCAGAAGCTACCATCATTTCTCTTCACCAGAAAGCCCTCAATAATTATTTGTGGAATGAATGAGTATGACTTACTGATTAGTGGTTAAGAATTCTACTTCTGGCCCTTCCTGGTGGCGCAGCGGGTTAAAGCACAGCACTAAGAAGCTTGAGCCACTTCCTCATGAGATCGATCCCCGCCTGCCCCGGAGGTGACCACATGGCGCGGCAGACCTCTCCTGGCCCGCCTACCGCTCCCCTCAGCGGTGTACTTCGTCGATCTGCCTGTTCTGCTCCCCTCTCTGTCTCTGGTGAATCCTCTCACCCTCCGCATCTCTGGCCTGTACCCCAGTTCTATATGAATAAATAAATAAATCTTTAAAAAAAAAAAAGAATTCTACTTCTGCCACTATGTACCCTTCAATAAATTAGTTAAGTCTTGATTTCTTCTTCTAGCAGATAGAAAGAATAACAATAAGCACATAAAGTTGGTGTGATGATTAGATGAGATCATGCAAAGTAGACATGAGCTCTTAGGTAGCTTTAGCTGTGGGCTGTGTGGGCATTGGCGTCAATATAAAGCATTGTGTTAATACTTAACATATTTATATAAAAAAGAAGCCCATACTTCTTAGTTTTGATCATGTTTGTTCATGAAATTACATAAGTGTACATTCTAAAGATTAAAATATACTTAACTACAACTAATAATAATTTTTGTTGTTACTTGCTGTTTGGAGACTAGTTTAAGAAACAATTCTGTAATTGTAGTTAATAAATGTGCAACTAGCATAACTTTAAAAAGTATTTTGGAAGGGCACGATCAGAGACTTTGGGGTCTTTTGGACAAAGGGATAGTTAAATATTACCAGTAAGAAAGCATCTCAATTACACTAATTTCTTTAGGGTTAGACATATATTTCCTTGAAAATTTGAGAAAATCTCAATAAAAGCTATTTAACAAAGGAACAGCTACCTGGATATCCAGGTATCTGTTAGTAAGTAGAATGTGTTTATTTTTAAGAAATGTGTTATAAAAGAATAGAAGGTTTCTTATGAATCCACTAGCTTGTTCCAGTTCAACTGAGTACACCCTGTCTTTTTAGTCTTTTAAACATAAATTATCATTTATTCTGTAGTCATAAAGAATCTTCATTTAGTATCTAATGTGATAGCTATCAAACTTTCACTTTTGAACAATTTTGCTCAACTGAGGATCGTTCTTCACTAAATGAAATTCATTGTTAAGAGATCCTTTGTCTTGCTTCTGGGCTGTTTGTTTTCTCTATTTGGACATAGCCTCTGTTTTAGATTTCTCTTTCCAACCTTCCAGGGACTTGTGGATCTTAAATGATGTCTGTGTAATCATTTAAATTAATGAAGCCTCCTTCAGTGAAATAAATGATCTTCTATTACATGTTCTCTGTGTGACTTGCAGCATGCTGTTATTTAAATTATCCATTTTAATGTTAGCAACCTTATCAGATAGATGTTATTTTTATTTATTTATTTTTTAATGAAGAAAGTAAGCTCACTGCCAGAAGTAATCCACTATTAAATGGCAAAGCCAAACTGTGAACTCTGGCGTGTCTGAGCTCTAAAAATTAGTGATTATTCAGAAATTGACTAAAAATTGATGCTCTGTAGGACATAGTAAATCTTTGGACTTATTAGATTGTTTCCAGTATTACTTTAGTTGGCCCAGGAAACCAGGGAAATTCATCTTCAAAGATGAGTGTGAAGCTACATTTTGGTCATTTAGAATATATTCTTATGATTACTTGTTCATTTTATTAAGGAGGATTGGAGACTTGAGATAGAGGATTGGTTTCAGCCATGGTTCATCAAGTTTTACTTTGATTATTATGCACGATAACACCAGGCTTGAGCATATAGAGGGGAAATGTTTAATTGGTCAAGTATTTTTGTTTAAAAATTCAAATTGTCAATACAAGGATTTCCCCTTCTACTTTTACTTTGTAGTTTCACATTTATCTTTGCATAAGCTCTTTGACCTTAACAGCTACTTTCCTTTTGCTTAATATGAAATTATTCTAAATGCCCTTTCTGAAGGCAGGAGCCTAGTAGAGAGCTCCTTGTCTGCCCATATGATCCTTGTAATTCACTGTATCATCACACTGGTTAAGTAATGCCCCGAGGTCAGGAAACCAGGTCAGTACTGCTGGTAATTAAGTCAACTTCCTTCTCTTTGGTACTGGAGATATGAAGCCCAACACAAACAACAAGGCCATCTGTTTCATGCTTCATTGCCTTAGATGTTCATACTTTACTTTATTGCATTGATTTTTGGTTAGGTTGTGCCTGAGTGATTATAGCTGGTAAGGCTAGTGTCTTAATACCTCAAAGACACTGAGTGTTTTTCAAAGTTTTGATCTGTTTTTTAATGTGTCAATTTTCTGGGAATTATTAAGACTAATCTGATGATAGGTTTTATAATTCAGGAGACCCCCTCACCTGCTCCCCACTTATTCTAAAATTTTCTAGTTGAACAAATATTTGGTTATTATTAGCAGAAGCTCAAGTGTAGGTGGTTCAAGTTTTGCATACAGAATCTTCGGTGGGTTTTGTAAGAATAGACAAAACTGTATATAGTTAACAACAGACTATGTAGCCTGCTTACCTTGTCATACTCTAGATTCTTTTCACCCTTTATATTTTAATTACCCAGCTTTTCCATTTAGTATACTCTTGATCTAATGTTTGAAGTGCTAATCTTGTTATCTTTCAACCTTACTGATTTAATGTGAATTTAGATTATTCTACCCCAAAATAACTTTACCTCTAGGTCTTAAATGTCATCACACTTCCCTAAATTATCTTGCATGTTGATAGTTTGAAAAATAACCAGACATATGTTGTAATCATCCTATTCATTAAAAAGGGGAAAAAAGATATTTCTTCTTTGTGGTGGCATCAGTTCTAGAAATGGTTATAATTCATAAATAGCTGAGAATTTAAAGACTCAGTGTAGAGTTCCTTTGTGAATCAGTTGCATGTGCTACTGGGATCAGAGCACATTGCTTTGGAAGATGATGAACCAAGAAGTAAGGGAGTGAGATCAAGACAAGAATATCAAAAGAATATTCATATATGATTATGAAAACCCTGAGGTGCTGGTAGGAGCATTGGGTGTTGTCAGTACATGACCAAGGAGCACCCAGGTACCCCAGACTGATAAGAACATAAACCCTCTGAAAGGGATTCAGCTATCTATATGTAAAAAGGCAAAGGAAGCACACTCTTCATGTAAAAGATTTTTAATATAATTAGTGTGCACAGAGAGGGATGGGAAGAAACAGTATCCCCTCCAAAACTGAAAATTTCCAGTCCCCTTGTGGCCAAATGCCCAGCTAGATAGGTTCAGCCTGAAGTGGAACAACTGAGGCCTGAAGGCTTATGACAAATCTAAGGTGCATGCTGATGGAGAACCTCAGGAATGGGTTAGGCAGTTCCAGCTGAGAGAGGAGAGACTCAACATTCAAAATCTGCTACATAATTCAACATGAAATCAGGATAATGACTGCCACTGTTTCTGTGAAGGACCAGAAACTGCCTCCCCATATGTCTCCCCTACTTGTCTTTTCCAAATATCTCTTCCAGATTTTTCTACATGTCTTGCCTTCACATGTGTCCTCCAAGTCTTCTTCCTAGCAGTACCAGAGAACATATCAGGCCACAGAAGCAGGAAAGGGTGCCCATCTGCTTTTCATATCATATGGGTCCACTCAGGAACACTCAGCTCTGCTCTTATTTCCCAGAATCTCCCAAACTTTTGAATTCCAATTCATGGCATATTGCAACTTCTAAGTAGGGTTGCTACTAAGTGGGGGGGAAAGAAAATGGTACCTTCTCTTCACAGAGATGTATTTGTGAATTGCATGGTCTTGAAAAATGTGTGCCTTTTTCTGTTTTGAAAAAGGCACCATGAACACCAGCAATGACACTGGTAATGCTTATTTAGAACATTTCACCTTCTGGGTCTTAGTACTAATCTATCGATAACTGGATATGAACTTCTAAAATGCCTGTAGTATATACTAATTTTCTTTATTTTAATATATTAAATTCCTATTGTGACATGCTCCTCATTATGTTGAAAAGATGATGAGCTATTAGTTCATCTACAGATGCTGTTCTAACAGTAGCAGTAGAAAAGGCAAAGCTTTGTTATATAGCAGAGCCTCCAGTTAAAGCAGGCCTCAGCCCACATTGGATTTGACTAGTCTCCTTGAATGTGTCTCAAATAAACAAGTTTTCTTTTTGGCAGTGGTGGTAGGCACATGGAATGCAAATCTAGCAAAACTATGTCAAACAGGGTCCTTAAATAACAGCTAATGTCTACTTTCGTTGCCCTGACTTAGGAAATACCTTCTAATTGGAAAATAAAAATTATCCTTCTGCCAAGGGACAAACATCATCAGTTATTCTTCCCAAGAAAAGGCAGTACTTAATTGCTAAACAAGGGGCTTTGTGTCTCAATTATAGTAATCATTAAACTGGTGAATGAAGAAAATACAGATGATGTTTAGCTGTTGTGCTTTGAATATATTAACAGTTGAGGAAGTTATTCATGGTATGTAAATGTAGTCTATAGCTCTGCCACATAGAAAAATCTAATGACTTTCCAAAGTGTTAAGTAGCTTTATTCTCTCTTTGTGAATGTGAGTGTTGATAGAAACAATCTGTTGGGAAGTGGAATTTGGCCATTATCCACTTAGGTTCTAAAGATGTTTTGTGTCAGTTTATGGGCTGGAGTTTATGCAAGTTATTAACTCTTATTTTATAGTACAGCAGTTAGTTATGAAAGTAGTTTTTTAGCCACTTTTGTAATTGGTTGGTTCCTTTGTGCCAGTGTGACTATTACCAATAAGCCTCGTCCAGAAACTGAGGCCAAAGTGAAGGGTTTATTAGTATTTGTTGAGTATAAAGAGCATTGACTTTCTTAAGATGGAGTACTTTAGGAAAGGAATTCTTTCATGTACTTTTAATTATTTATTGGTTTTTGTCCTTCACAAAATGGCATAAGAAATACTAATGGTTAATATGCTTGTTGGAGGCAGATATTGAAGGGATCAGGGAAGAAAGCTGTATCTCCTTTTGTTTATGTGATTTGCCTAGTGGATTCCTGAAAATATATGTAAAAGAATAGAAGGCCTCGTAGAATTTGTTTTACACAACTTTTGTTACAAGGTTTTAATTTTTTAGACTTATTTTACTTATTTATGCATATTAGAGCTAGGGTGTTGTCCAGAGGTTCAGGGGGACAGGAGTGAGAGGATTCATCAGAGACAGAGTGGGGAGCAGAAGAGACAGATATACTGAAATACACTGCTGAGGGGAGCAGTGGGCTACATGGAAGAGGTCTGCTGTGCCATGTGGATCAGCTCCTTGGCTAGCGATCGAATTCATACTGCAGTGACTGCTGATAACTGGATAGTGCTGAGACTTAACCCCTTGTGCCACCAGGGAGCCTCAGAAAAGAAAACTTTTTGCCAAGTTGTATGTGTGTATATTTTGTTTGTCCTTCTCTACTGTTACAGGATTTCCGGGATGCAGTAGCTCATGCTTCCAGGCAATTTGGGAAACCAGTGATTGAAGACCGGATCCTGAATCAGATTCTATACTACTTGCCTCAGCTATATGAGCTCAATAGGGATCTCCTGAAGGAACTGGAGGAAAGAATGTTGAACTGGTAAAAGTGAACTTACTGACTTCTCCAGAGTTTCCAAAGTTAGATGAAGCCATAAAAATCCTGTATTTACAGAGAGGATTATTCCTTACATTGTGTTGTTTCAGTATATTGAATTTCCTTGGCAGTTACTTTAACAGCCAAAATTCACAACTTAGGTGCACTGAGCTCCGTATGATACATTTTCAAAAAAAAAAGTAATTAAAAATCATCTTACTGTACATTTTTATAAAAATTATCTTAAACATTAATCTGACTCACTTTTAAATGTTACCACAAAAGGAAAAAGGGCTCATATTTCAGTCAGTTTTAATTTTATAATTAACTTATATTAGAGCTAATCAAGATTTTTTAAATTGAAGGAATTTAGTTGCATAATCAATGGGACTGTAAATGTTTTGTGTATCTTTTCTGGAGCCTTCTGTTATGAAACTCCCTTTGCATTTTTTTTTAATCCAAATTTACTTGGTTTTGAAAATTTACATATATATGACATCATTGCAGATACTTTAAATTTCAGAACATGAAAAGAATACCAAAAGATTAACTACTCTCAACTTATCCAAGTTTCACATTTGGTTTCATTTCCCCTGGTTTAACTGGATCTGAAAATATTAAATGCATTAAGACTTTTTTGATAAAATAAAACCAGGAGAGACCATATTCATATAACTAACTGAAGCATAACAATTATTTTAATAGCTCTATTTTGTTGTTAATTATTATTGTTTATCTTTTACTGTGCCTAATTTACAAATTAAAGTATCACAGTTTGTATATATAGGAAGCATAGTATAGTAGGGTTTGTTTGTCTCATGGCTTTAAACATTCACTTGGGGTTCTTGTAGCATATCCCCTGTTAATAAGGGGCCACTACTGAACTTCCATTGGGCTGTTGAAAATAAGTAGAAACTCTGATGATATCTTTGTAATTTGTAGAAAGTTTACTCTGATGGATTGAATTTATTGTTGAAGTTCATGGGGAGCCAAAATGAATAGAATAACAAAATAGTTTTACCTGCTTTCATGATTAATATTTGCCTCTAAGCTTTCTCTATCTATAATCCCCAAAATACCACTGCTAGTTTTGGAAATAACATGCCTCAGCCTGTTTGGGAAAATACACTAGATAAGTGTTTCATACTTGGCTGCAGATTAAGTATAAAATCTCATAGATTTAAAGACTGAAGGAAAACAAAAGGGTGTTTTTAAAAAAGATTTACTTATTTATGCATACAAGAACTGGGGTACAGACCAGAGATGCCGGGGTTAAGAGTATTCACCAGAGACAGAGTGGGGAGCAGAATGGGCAGATTGACTGAAATACACTGCTAAGGGGAGCAGCAGGCAGGTCAGGTTAGGAGAAGTCTGCTGCTCCATGTGGATCATTCTCTGGCTCTGATCAAACTCACACTGCAGTGGCTGCAGATAGCTTCATAGAACTGCACTTTAACATTAAACCCTTGCACCACCAGGGAGGGCCCCAAAAGGGTATTTTTAAAAATTATGTTAGAAGAAAAAAATGTAATACAAATCATCATCCTGTACTTTTTTTTTAAAAAGATTTATTTATTTATGTTTACAGAACTGGGGTATAGGCCAGAGGTGTGGGGGTGAGAGGACTCACCAGAGACCAAGTGGGGAATAGAACAGGCAGATCGACTGAAGTACACTGCTGAGGGAAGCAGTGGGCGGGGTCAGGAGACATCTGTCGCACCATGTGGGTCACTTCCCTGGCCGGGGATCAAATTCCTGCTGCAGTGACTTCTGTGAGCTTCATAGTACGGTGCTTAAATCCATTGCACCACCAAGGAGAGCCCCTATACATTTTTATAAAAATGATCTTTAACATTAATCCCAACTCACTTTTAGATGTGCATATTTATGCATGCATTATGAAGAGGCTTAAATATTTTGTGCTAAACATTTTTTTTTTTTAGTTTAGATCTATAGGTGTTCATGCCCTTAGACTAAATTTATGAAAAGAATAACTAAAACCACAGTTAAGAAAAAAGCTCCATTTAATACTATAAAATTCAGTCTTTGGGTATTTCCTACTTAGGAAAATAATTTTCTCTCAGGGGGTCTTTGTATCAAGACATATTCTTTGATTTTAGTAGGCTTTCAAAAGTTCTTTACATGATCTTTTAATACAAATGGGTGAAATATCACCAAGGTTTTAAACATCATCTGTGTACTATTTCATGCTCTAAGCATTCTAAGAATATCAGTGCATAAAGCAAACAATGCTCTTGCTCTCCTGCAACTGCATTTTAAAAAAAGATTTATTTATTTATGCACTAGGGTGCAGGTCAGAGGTGCACGTGTGATGACAGGATTCACTAGAGACAGTAGGGAGCATAACAGGCAGGTCAACAAAGTACACTGCTGAGGGGAGCAGTGGGTGGGTCAGGAGAGGTCTACCATGCCATGTGGGTCACCTCCAGGGCAGGGATCGAACTCATGCTGAAGTGGCTTTAGTTTCTTAGTGCTGTGCTTTAACCCGCTGCACCACCAAGGAGGGCCTGATGCTGCATTTTTTTTTTAAAGATTTATTTATTTATGCATACAGAACTGGGGTACAGGCCAGAGGCTCAGGGGCAGTGAGAGGCCTCACCGGAGACAGAGTGGGGAACAGAACAGACAGATCAACAAAGTACACTACTGAGGGGAGCAGCGGGCGGGCCAAGAGAGATCTGCCACACCATGTGGTCACCTCCCGGGGCAGGCGGGAATCGAACTCATGCGGAAGCGGCGTTAGATTCTCACTGCTGTGCTTTAACCCGCTGCTCCACCAGGGAGGGCCCTGATGCTGCATTTTTAAATGGAGGGAGAATGAGACTATTAGCCAAGAAACATGTTATATAGAAATAGTTTCTGATCTGACATAGATTGATATGCTAGCAAGTAAAGGTTGAGTGGCCAAAATAAGGCTCACTAAGAAAGGAGAGATTTAAATAGTCGCTCTGGGGCCTTCCCTGAAGGTGCAGTGTGTTAAAGCACAACACTATGAAGCTGTCCACAGCCACTGCAGCATGAGGAACCTACATAAATGGTGTGGCAGACATCTCCTGACTCACCTGCTGTTTCCCGCAGCAGTGTACTTCACTCAATTTGCCTGTTATACTCCCCACTGTCTCTAGTGAATTGTCTTCAGCCACCGCACCTCTGGCCTGTACCCTAGTTCTTGTATACATAAATAAATCTTTAATAAAGAAATAAATAACTATTCTGGAATTATAGCAAGATTGTAATTTATGTCTATATCATACTCTAGAATAGTACATGGAGCCTTTTTTACTATTTAAAAAGAAGACATCTGAAGAAAAAAGAGAAGCTAGCCATGGTTCCATATCTTTAGGCATGTGGAGTAAAAGTTTGCAAAGTAGAAATGAACCCTGTGCATCCAAAAGACTACAAAGAAGCCCATTGTGGTTGGTAATAATGAGAAGAGGGAAGCGTGAGATGGGTCACAAAGACTGGCGGTAGCAGGATCTCTGCATCCCTGCAAACCCCAGTAATGAGAAAGTCACATGAGATGATACACATTTTTAGACCCTGGCTGCACATAAGAATGAGTCTGAGGGAACAGAGTAGAAGCAAGAAGACTAGTCAGAGTGTTGACAGAGTCCAGGCACGTACTCATGGTGGCCATGAAATGCGGATATCTAGGGATCTTTCTTAGAAGAAGAGAAAAAAGAGTAGTTGATGCTTTGGATGTAAGACTCTGTAGTTCACTGGTTATGTCTGACACATTCATGATTTGTTTTTGTTTTTATGTTTCTCTATCCCTAGGACTGAACAGCAAAGAATTGCTGATATCTTTGTAAAGAAGGGGCCATACCTAAAGATGTATTCCACATACATCAAAGAATTTGATAAGAATATTGCTTTGCTGGATGAACAATGCAAAAAAAACCCAGGCTTTGCTGCTGTAGTCAAAGAATTTGAGGTATTTTGGCTACCATTGAATGTTGAACATTTTTCTTCTTTTATTTTTAAAGCTTTAAAATTTTTAGTCATTGAAAACAAAGTTTGAGAACAATAAGATACTTTAGATATAACCCCTACAAAATTAAAGAGGGAACTGAATAGATGAAATGGTGAGAACTCCAATAGTGTGAATACGATTTTAATTTTGGAACATATTACTGCGCTCTGGAATATTTTGATGGGTGTCTTTATTTTTAATTGTAGCAAAATACTCATAAAATAAAAATCACCTTAGACACCCATTTTTAAGTGTATAGCTCACTAGTGTTGACATATACTCACATTTTTATGGAAATAATCTCCATAACTTTTATCTTTAAAAACTGAAACTCCCCCGTAGATCCTAACTCCTCATTCTTTCTATGTCACTGACAGCAACCTTTCTACATTCTTTGACTTTGCTGGGGAACACATCTTACTTTTTAATTCAACCTTCTCTATTCTTCCAACAACTAAACTACAACATGTATGAGAAATACGATGTTTTCCTTTAAATAAATAAACAGAAATATCAGTATCAAAGTTAAGAAAAGTTACTAACATGTATATGGCCACAGCTTTGTGTATTGACTCAAAGATACAAAGACAATACCCAATTTAATTGGGGATAAAATGTTATAACAAATTTTTTAATTTTTTTTAAAGATTTATTTATTTGTACATACAGAACTGGGGTACAGGCCAGAGGCTCAGGGGCGGTGAGAGGCTTCACCAGAGACAGAGTGGGAGCAGAACAGGCAGATCGACGAAGTACACTGCTGAGGGGAGCAGCGGGTGGGCCAGGAGAGGTCTGCCACGCCATGTGGTCACCTCCGGGGCAGGCGGGAATCGAACTCATGCGGAAGCGGTTTCGGATTCTCAGTGCTGTGCCTCAACCCACTGTGCCATCAGGGTGGGGCTAAATTGGTTTTTAACTAAAATTTTATTTTTCTCCCCTAATGTTGGGTAAAATGTGGGTTACTGTATACATCAAAACTCATTTATTGCTTTGAAACTAAAAATATAAGTGAATTTCTATCACACAGAGTTAGAAAAATTTTAGGCATATTAAGTTAATGCTGATTTCTACTTTGTACAGTTGATGAACAAACTAAAGATTATTTGTAATTTTCTCCCCTTTTCTGTGATATCTTCATGTTGTTAAGAAAAGAAGTGTTATATAAATAACTATGGCAGCTGATAATTGACCCAGTAATTTGGCCAGTAAGTTGTTCTGTTGCCTTGGCAGCAAAAGACAATGAAACAGGAAAGCTAGTTGTCTTGGTTAATGATTCTTGCAAGTCAGATACCTTCTTAATATGCATTATTATTATTATTATTTTGTAACTATTCTATTTACCTGACCCCGGAGGTATATCTTTAGAAAAAGATAAAGCAGTATGAGCAAAGATGAGAGAACTTTCCTTCCCACCTGAGTTGTGTAAGAATCACAGGCCATCTTAGGATACAAGGCCATTTTCACTTGGTTGTTTGGTGCCACTTCACTATTTTGGAGAATGGGGGTGAGGATCAGTACTAGGCAGAAGAAGTGTCTTTTGTACTTCTTAGGGAAAAAACTTTAAAGACAATGACATGTCACTGTAGTCAAGTCAAAATTGTTCCCAAATGAGGTATTGCCATTTACACTGTGATTTGCTGAGTGGGGTGGGCTCAGGCTGAACTAGAATGTCGATGGTCTCCACTGCCATCTGTGGAAGGTCCGTGACCAGCTTCTCCCAGTGAGTCAGTGATTTTAGAGACCCATCTACAGGGAAGGGGGGGGGGGGTTCATTCATAGCATGCCAATTGTGCCTTAAAATAAAGGGAACTTCTCACTGAATTTTCCAGAGTTGCTAACTATTTGAAGTTTGGCTTCCCAGAGTACTTGCTTCCTAGAAAATGCTGTGTTTATATTAGATGCCTTTTCTTTTCAGATGAGCCCACGCTGCGCTAATCTGGCCCTCAAGCACTACCTGCTCAAGCCGGTTCAGAGGATACCCCAGTACAGGCTGTTGCTAACAGGTGGGCTCCTCCAGGCTTCAAGCAGCCAGCCACTTACCTACCACTGACTCATGTCCTTCCATGAAATTCTGCTTTTCCTAAAAACACCTCTCTCTCTACAACATGCCTGCAACACTGCCCCTCCCCCATACATGATTCATAGGTTGCTTACAAGTTCACATTAACATCTGTTGTCTAAACTGAACTTCACTCAGTTCTTTGATTATCCTTGTGTGCAGTAGTGACTTTGGGCATTCATGCATGTAAATATGTAAATCCTTTTGCTCAGGATGATCTTTGACCATGCCAACCCCAGTTGTTTATCCCAAGAAGATTACTTCCCAGCACTCATGTATGACGTGGAAAGGGTTACTCCCACATTTTTGCATAGCAGCTATCATGGATCCAGTGAGATATTTCAGAGTTGTTATCAGGATTGATTAATGAACTATGTGCTTAGAGTAGTGCTTTAGTCAGTTGGTTGTAAATATGCATTTTTTGCTGCTAATATTAGTAGCAGCAGTATCCTAATCATTGTCATGGTCATTGTCTTTATTTCCTACTAGACTGTAAGCTTCAAGATCACAAGGCTATCTAGTTTGCCATCTTTAAAGTTCAAAAAAAGGACAAGAAGAATAAAGAAAGGGAAACAGAAACAAGTTATTACTTGAGCGAAGCCATAACCTGTGCTCAGAGTTTTAATTCATTGATTCTAAATTTTTGTCATAGCCATGCATATATGTATTACAATATTATTTAACAGCTGGGATAACAGGCTCATAGAGATGAAGTGGTTTGGCATTATAAACAGCTAATAAGTTTAGCACCAAGAAATACTATCCAGCACACACTACTGAGTTCCCTGGAGTATTTGCTGAAATGTATTGGATGTGTAGTGGCTAAATGCACACATACTACATTCACTGGAAAGTGTGTGAGAAGAGACAAGAATGTCACTGCTGCCATAACTCTAAATTTGATCTGTTGTTATTTCATTTAAATGGATTTTGGGGTACATGTTTTCTCTTAAAAGAATGTGTGTGCTTTTATCTTTGATCATTTTCTCTTAAGCCAAGAACTATATGGAATGTAGTAGGTAAACCCTAGAAGGATAGGATTTCCAAATTTCCCTTTAGGCAGAGACTTCAGACTTTCCAAGCCATGCCTACTGAAGACAGACTGCTGATGGGAAAGATTTTCTTTCAGCCCCAGGAGTCTGTTACCCTAGGAGTTCTGAGACTTAATTTGAATTTCTAACTGTGAATCAGGCACTAGATTTCTGTCTGGAATGACATAAGGTAAACCAAATAATTCGAGGATATCCTGTCCATCTGTACTTTCTTTCCTCTGCTTTTGGCAGAGATTTAGAATACACAGGACAAAAGGAAGTACCCATGCATGTGTTGTGTTTTGCAAGATAAATTCAATGCTGTATCAGAAATGAAGTGTTACGAGGCTTCAGCTATTTCCACAGCTGTCCAATGAAGTACTGTTTTTAGTGGCAAAAGACAACTATCGCTTTAATCGCAAGAAAGATGGCATAAAATATTTTTTCCCACACTGTGGATGAACTATATTTTAAAAGTTACATATGCTTAGTTTTAATTGAGAAGTTAAATTCAGTTTAATGTTAATTTAGAAATGGTGAAAAAAATAAATACAGTATAACAGTTTTCTATTAGAGGATAGATTTAATTGGTTTTATAATATAAACATAATGTGAACCTATGGTTATTTTCAGTTTTGAACTGCCTCTTGTTAATCTAAAGCCTTTTATCCCTTTCTTAAACTGGAATATCTTCACCTTTTACCCCTTTTCTAAATTGGAAAGTCTTCACCATTATTAAGTGATAAACAATACCTTCTACATAGTAGACTGTTAGTAATTTTGTGTTCATTGAAAGATAAAGATGATGATGGCTTGCTTAGGGTAGCAAAGTCAATACTAGAAGACATAGACTCTCTAGAGAAATGGCATGGACTTTACGTTCTTCATCCTTTGGCTTTTCTTCCAAAGGAAGGACTTAAATTTTCCTTTCCTTCAAACCCGACCTGAAGTTCTCCATTTTCATGGAAGCTTTTTCAGGAATACTCCAGTTCTTGAACACTTAATATCAATGGCATGTGACTTAGTTACCAAACAATATTGATTTGATATCATCTGAATATTGATTCTTTAATTTGTTTACAAACTGCTTGTGTAAACTTGTGTGCCCTAAAATTTCTGGGTCAGTTTTGGGTACATTGAAAGTTGTTCCGGAAGTATTTATGGCTGGTTTTCAGAGAGGCTTCAAATACCCCTTTTATTTATGGTTGGTTTTCAGAGAGGCTTAAAATACCCCTTTAGCCAAAACATCTTCAGCCTTAAGATAATATTGAAAGAGAATTTTAGAAGTGAAATCTTCCCTAAAGTGGAGGACACACCCAAAGAGGTGAATTGTCTTGCCTGAGGCCACACAGTATTAGTTGAAGCACATATGGTTATATAATGCTAATGACAAATGAGGGCTGATACTAAGAGGTTTATATTTTTATTTTAAATCCTTATTTCTTAGTATACATATTTGTGACATTTAGATTGCTCCCTACTTTACAAGGTATTTCTGCTGTTGCTATCAAGTTGCTCTTGTTAGTGCACTTAGATTTTTAGAAGTTAGACTTTGTCTTAAGATTGCATTTTTTCAAACTTATGTTTATTAGCTGAGCCCCAATCTTTGGATCAAGAAGCTCAGTTAATTTAATCCTCCCTATAACCTTGTGAGATAAGTTCTTTTATTTCCAGTTTAGAATTTGGGGTAGTTCCAAATGACAGAATACAGGAGCAGAGAGGAGGAGTGGGACTCTATGAAGCATCTCTTGACAACTTTGATTTATTAGTGAATTTCAGACAGAGAAGAGGAAGGATCCTTGTCTGACTCAGTGTAAGTAGATCTGTACCCTACCTTGGAGAAGTCTGAGAAATGCAGAGATGAAGTAGAGATAAGATAGCATAGTTTATTTTGGAATTCTTTTAAGGAAAGGTGAGTGGAAATACCCAGATACTGCAGTCCTGCCCCTACTACCCAAACAACCATCCTCCTGACCTGGGGAGTATTTTTCAGGTGAGAATTTGGATTTCTGTTGGGTTAATTGTTTAGGCTTTCTCTTCCTTCATTATAGTAAAAAAAAAAAATTCAAGCTCAGTTTTTGGTAGTATTTCCTTAAATTCTGCTCAAAGAAAGTACCTATGTTATAATAATGTTTAAGATTATAAAATTAGAATTGTGACATTTAAATCACAATTAAAATTGTAATACAAGGTAAATAATATACTTAAGGAGAAAAACAAACTTTTCCTTCATATTAACTAGTCACCATCAATCCATCTTGCCAGATGTTTAAATCCATAAGGGACCCAGAACGTCTTTGGAGTTAGGAGAAATGGAAATCTCAAGGTTGCAAGGAGGAAGCAGTAAGAGAAAACAAATACTGCTGTAGGAGCAGCAGTAACTTTTTACTAGTGCTTAATTCCTTCCTCCTCTTCTCTTCCAGGTAGAGAGTGTTTTTATTCTTTTTTAAAAAAATATTTATTTATGCATACAGAACTGGGATACAGGCCAGAGGTTCAGGGGCGGTGAGAGGATTCACCAGAGATCCAGAGGAAGCAGAACAGGCAGATTGACAAAGTACATTGCTGAGGGGAGCAGCCCGTTAGGGAGGGAATGGATCTTGTGCTGCAGTGGCTGCAGATTGCTTCAGAATGCTGTGCCTTAACCTGTAGTGCCACCAGGAGGGCCCGAGACTGTTTTTATTCTAACTCAATGTCTGCCATTGATTCAGGCACAAAACAGAGACTCAGTATGTGTTTATGGCTTAGCTGAATGAAATAGTTACTTTTTATAAGGTTAAGAATCCGTACTTCTTGATGCAAAGACTGTTCAATAGATGAATGGATCAATAAATTGCTTCTAAGAGTAAAAACACTTCTAGTCACCCAAGCACAAAGTATGAAAAGGGCTCTGAATTACTTCCCTTTCCTCCGCATAGGATCTGCTGACCCTTTTCCCTCTGTTTCCTACTCTTTCCATTTCCCTTGTTGTGTTTCAGGCCAGAGCTTTCTAAACTCTCACCTAATTGTGGCAACATCTTCCTGCTCCATGCTTTCTCTTACCACTCCCTGTGTAGGCGGCCCATCATTGCTTAATTTCCCTTCCAAGAACAACATAAAGGAAAAACACACAGCTAATACACTTCTCCTGTGTCTCCTCTTTACTAAAACATTTACAATACTTCTGACACACAAACCAGGCTATCTGCAACATCAACAATTCTCTGCAATATATAAGGTGTCCTATAATGCAATTCAAACCTGATACTATCCTGGAGAAAGTGCCACATCCTGTTACAGGGTTCCCCAAATCTGTTCCAGGACAGCAAATCTGTTAGAGGACAGGGAGAGAGGGATACCCCTGGAGCCCCAAACCTGTCTGCTCTAAGTGGGTTCTTCCATCTGCCGCGTCAAGATAAAACATATAAAACTTTAATGAAAAGGGACTTTAATACAGTGAATATACAATACGGAACACAAAGAATATAACTTCTAAATCAGACACCTGAAGTTACCCATCCCTTCGTGGGCAAAAGTCAACCCAAAAGGAATTGGCCCAAAGCAAGGTCTGAAAGCTGCCACAAGACCTAAAGCACCTTCTGCCCGGGACCCATGGAAAAGGGTCAGAAATGGCCAGACAAATCTGGGAGGAAAAGAGCAAAATCAAAATCAATATAAACACTGCCATAGTCACCTCCCTACAGGTATCTCACCCACATCTGCCTTAACCAGTCCAGGGTCAGGGAACAAGCACGGTTTCTTCATCACATGCTTGCTGCTCCATGTGGCTTCCTCAGGTCTCCTTCTTATTCTCCATCCAGCTTCCTTCTTTTTTTCTCTCTTGATTCCTTCTCTTCTCTCCTTTTTCTCTGCTCAGCTCCACCCTCCTGGGACGGGCAGAGAACCTGGAACTTCCCCTTTTCCTAGGGACCAC